ACGGTGAATCAAACCCTCAAACTGACTCTGCAAACGGTGAATCAAATCCTCAAAATGACATTGCAAATGGTAAATCAAATCCTCAATATAACATTGCAAATGATGAATCAAATCCTCAAACTGACATTGCAAATGATGAATCAAATTCTCAAACCGACTCTGCAAATGGTAAATCAAATCCTCAAAATGACATCGCAAATGGTAAATCAAATCCTCAAAATGACATCGCAAATGGTAAATCAAATGCAAATGAGATGTCAATCAACTAGCCTAGGCGGGGCTTTAAGGCGGAAGAGTTTGTTGACAACTACCGGTAGCGCTGACTTTTTCAAGGCGCTCAGATTTGCGCGCACTATTCCAAGTCGTATCCGTATAGGAAATAAGTTTTTACTCGTAGAAGAGAAAGCGAGAAATCTCCTACTGCTTCTGTCCACATTCTGAAGTGTTCATCAGATGGCTACATCTCTCATAGGAGGCCACGAAAAAGCATACGGCAAGAAGATGATAAAAATATACGGATACGACTTGGACACCTCATTTGCTTTTGATTTATCATTTGCGATGTCAGTTTGAGGATTAGATTTATCATTTGTGGAGTCGTTTAAAGATTTGATTCACCATTTGCGGAGTTGTTTGAGCATTTGATTAACCATTTGCGCAGTCGGTTTGAGGATTTGATTCATCATTTGCGATGTCAGTTTGAGGATTTGATTTATAGTTTGAGCATTTGATTTATCATTTGCGCAGTCGGTTTGAGGATTTGATTCATCATTTGCAGTGTCGGTTTGAGCATTTGATTTATAGTTTGAGCATTTGATTTATCATTTGATCTTTTAAGCATTTGAATTTTCATTTAAATTTTGTTAGGAAAAAACTTCCATATTCTTCGACACTGTTTTTGTGTTTTTTAAAATGCAAATGAGCTGCTTCTCCCCGCCCCTCTTTCTAAAAGTGGGAGGAGCCTTTAAAGCATGTGCCTCAGTTACTCTGCAGTACAAACATCTGCTTACATTTGAAGTCTTGGACCCTATCATACACTTGGTGCAAGACGCGTATGCCATGATTTGTTGATATTTTCAGACCAGCGCAACAGTAATCTTTATGTTTTACGACATGTTGTTTAAATAGCAAATCCTTTTGTGCCACTTTGTGGACTCATGGGTGTGCCAGTCTATAAAGGAGGTGTGTTAAGGCGCATTGTTGGCACATTGCTATTTTGAAGAACTAAAACAGACTGTACTATTGATCTGCTAAAAGCTGGTCTAAAGTCCAGCGCAGAGAACGTTATTTTTATGCAGGTCTAAATGCTTACACATTACTTAATACACACAGGATGTACAACAATACACAAATATTTTTACAGATGAAAAACATGTCAACTACATGGATATAAAAACCCCTGTCTCCATGCCTTCTTCATCTCGGAGGGCTTTTTCAGTTCATTTACGTCTATTTGCTTTTTAATCATGTTATCATTGTTATCAGTATTATTTATTATACTCATATTTATATTTGCTTCAATAAAAACAAGCTTAGATTTGTCCACCTGTCAGGTTTTGGAGCATCACTATATGGGTCATAAGAACAGGTTGTGTTGTCAGTTCTCAGTTTTTGACCACACTTCATTATTATTGTTCATTTATTCCTTTGCTGGAAATTAAAACTGAATTTTAAAACAAATCTTAACGCTTAACAAACAACATTAAATATGTTGGCTAATGGATGTCTTCAGGTGGAGTAAGTTTCCACTATTTCCTTACTCCACGAAAGTAAAGGAGTAAAGTAAAGAGTAAAATTAAAGTAAAGAGAAAGTAAAGAGGTCAAATGGAGAAGGCTCGTTCTTTATCCTTGTGCTGCAGATGGTCTGTTGTTTTCTCGCTAGTGAAGCGTTCAATTTTTTCCACTTACAAAGTCCGCCATGTATATAGCAAATGCACCATGGCGTGAAACAACTGACTCTTAAAGGGAATGTGAGATGAGACTCTGATTGGTTTTATGCACATTATGATCAAAACACACCCATAACTCATTAAGAGAGTAATCACAACCCTGTTAGACCATGCGCTCCGGCGCAAACTCTATTTTTCCATCCTTAAAATAGCAAAAGTGGATTCGGACAAGCCCTAAATGCTTTTACACATTGTGCTTTAGACTGTGCGCTTCTTTAAAATAGAGCCCCTTGTGAGTTTAAACTCCTGATTTACAGTTTTCTAAAAGCAAAGACACTTTCGGCTGGGATTTTTTTATTAAATAAAGCTCAAAAATTGATTATGCTGATAGCATTCAATTCAACTCATCTTTATTTTTATAGCACTTTTTACAATGTAGATCGTCTCAAAGCAGCTTAACATTGATAGTCTTGTCAGTTAAAAACTCCTGATATACTGTTTTCTAAATGCAAAGACACAGGAAATTGAGAGCTGTAGGATTATAAAATAAAGCTCAAAACTTGATTATGCTGATAGCACAAAACTGGTCGACTCTCTCTCTCTCATTCTTAAACACACTTCTAGCTCAAAATAAGCCAAAGCGAGACCAGCTTGTGAAGAATCAGTGGTGAACTGGCACAATATTTGATTTCAACCACACAGTTAAGCCTTCCTGAGATTTTCAGTGAAAAATACTATTACTGAAACATGAGTTAAACATGGACTGGGGTTTTCTGTTCTATATATTTTAATATTCTCCGTGCACTCTCTTTCTTTTTTTGTTTTGCCTAATTGCCTTTTCAGTAGTCTATGCAAATAATTGAGGAGTGTTAAATGTTAAAGTGGTTTTTACTGTGCGCTTTTTACAAGATCTAATAATCTCAGACTTCTATGGTGTATTTTATGCTGAAATGCACGTTGGGGTTAATTTTTAGCCTAGCTTTAAATGCCCTTTTTACTAATGTTCACAGACTTTTTTCTGTCTTTGTCAATGCAAATGAGCTGCTGCTTCCCGCCCCCTTTCCAAATAAGGGTGAATTCATTAAAGGATATCCAAAACAAACCTAAAAATCTGCTATTGAAAGTCTTGTCAGATTAAACTCTTGATATGTTGTTTTATAGTTTGTTTTTGTATAGGGGCAGTACACAACAATACATTTAAGCTTGAACACTCATAGGTAAATTGCAGGATGTCAGATTCTAGCGAAAAATGCTAGTTTTTACAAGGGATAGACTGATGTTTCGACACAGTGTCGAGATCCCGAAGCGCAAGTGTTTCGAAACACTGCACCAAACATGATCTGAATCACCCAGGTCACATGACTTTGGTGATTCGAAACATCCATGATAATAATGATGATGAAAAGCCTTTATTTGTCACATACACTTTTACATGTAGTGAAATTGGACCCCTCGACCATACACAAACATCACACATTTTATGGGAAGACGGGTTCAGATGAGAGGTAGCTTTTAAAAAGAGGAAATAAGATACATTAGGGCAGAGAAAGGCGAAAAAAAAGCCCCTCTCAGACTGCCGAAGTAGAGCAGTATGAAATCAGGGGGGAAAAAAAGCCCTAAGACAAGCACATAAACACACAGACATAACATCGCAACTGGGGATGGGAACAGGGGATGTGGATATAGTCTGATAAAGGCGGTAACCATCTGGTCCTGCCACCAGGGGGAGCTGGTCACAGACCTGCCTACCAACACCAGTGGGTAAAAGCACACAAAGGCATGGGATGTGGGGGTTAGGCAGTGATTGTCTATCCGTAGCTCTGTATCGGTGTGTATAAGCCTGTACAGTCTCACAGGTGTCCTTAAAACGGAACAGGAATTGTCTAGCAGAGGTTGAGGTTGTATAGCAGGAGAGTCACAAGGAAGCCGGAAGAGAAGAAAAGGTTTCAATTTGGGTCAATATTTGCTAATTTCGTAGATATCTGATGTCCGTCACTAGTTCAAATCACGTTGCAACGCTGATAGTTTCTACCCGATGTTTTCCGATTTGTGGTCTGATGCCACAGTCTCAGCACCAACAAACTTGCTCACCATCGTTTCAATCCAGCCGGCCAGCTTGGTAGGGTTTTGAGCTGCACTGACCTCTTTTATCAATCGTCGATACCCCAGGGCCCACCTAAGCCCATCAACAGAAACCTTGTAATCAAAGTTCCGAATAAGTAGATATCTTCAATATCCTCCAAGGACAAAGCGGCCAGGCACACGACGCGCCACTTCTTCAACCCGTCCATCATGTATCCAGTTCCAAACGCTCTTGCAGGACAGGTGGGTTCCTCCAAACCCAGACTTCTCATCGAGAAGATGGTGTCAATTGCGTTCAGAGACCAGTTGATCAAATCCATAATTCATTTTATTTTGGAGAGCAGGGCAAGGAGAGCCTCAGAGATAGAATAAAACGAGACAAGAGGAGCCAGCCAGGAGAGATATGGGAGGGAGAGGAAAAAGTGTGACCCCTTTCGCCGATAGCCAAAGAAAAAGTTGCCCAGGTCACATGACTAAAGTGTTTTGACGCATTTAATACAATACCTCAATTTGCTTAACGGATTCTTTGCTAAAGGTGTTCCAGAGCAATACATAAAAATTACCACTAGGTGTCACTGTAGAGAAGGGCTTCAAAACGTTTCGATGCTTCGACACATTTGCTTTGACTCTTTCCGTGTTTCATTAAGTCTTGCTTTGCCCACCACTAGTTTCCACGTAGTCCCCAGAGAAATATGTGTTATACAGTTATTTTGTGCGTGTAAATAGATAAAATAGACCGATCAGTAATATTATACAACTTTTTATAAACAAAACTCATATCGCAGTGTTCCATTCAATTAAATTAGTAAAAAGTTATTTCAAAAATCCAACTAACTCACAGCACACTCTTCACACACAAGCAAATATGCATATATAGCTTTCTGAGAGTAAACACACAAAGTGTGATTACAGGATGCCGGCTGTCTGACACCATATTGTGTGAAAATCGAAGTAAATCTAAAAACATGTAAATGAAAAAATAGATTAAAGAACAGCATGGAAAGGTGTGTATGTTTGAGTGTAACTCACGTCAATGATTGTCCACTGCTCCACCACTATAGCGTCATATGCAGCAGCTGAGTTGGTGTCGCCCTCGACACCCTCCTGAAACACAAACACGCTGTCCACGGTCTTCACAAGAACATCTGCAAAGAAAAAAAGATATAGGATGTCAGTTTGAACCGCCAAGTGTTTTTCAAAATGGCTTCTGTTGTGTTCTGTAAAGGAATTAGGGATTTCTTTTTGCTAGCTGGTATGTTTGGTGGGGCGACATGGTGGCTCAGTGGTTAACACTGTTGCCCCACAGCAAGAAGGCAGCTGGCTGGGCCATTTGGCATTTCTGTGTGGAGTTTGCGTGTTCTCCCCGTGTTGGCATGGTTTTCTCTGGGTGCTCTGGTTTCCCCCACAGTCCAAACACATGGTCTTTTATTTTTAATAAATTTGCAGTGATTGAAAAAAATTCACATTGTCATTATGGGGTATTGTGTGTTGAATTTTGATGAAATACATGAATTAATCCATTTTGGAATAACACTGTAACATAAGAAATGAAAAAGTGAAGCACTATGAATACTTTCCAGATGCACTGTATATATATATATATATATATATATATATATATATATATATATATATATGTATATATATATATATATATGTGTGTGTGTGTGTGTGTGTGTGTGTGTGTATACATACATACATACATACATACATGCATACATACATACATACATACATACATGCATACATACATACATGCATGCATACATACATACATACATACATACATACATACATACATACATACATGTTGATAGGGAAGCAGTTTGCTTTGTATGCTGGCATACATACATACATACATACATACATACATACATACATACATACATACATACATACATACATGCATACATGCATACATGCATACATGCATACATACATACATACATACAAACAGGGCTTTACATTAACACCTGCCAAATGCCGTCTTTTCACCCCCCACTAGCCGGTTGAAAATAATTTTCAAGGATAATGATTCTTAAAAGCAGGGTTCGACAACGATGGTCCAATATGCATGCAAAGGCGATTTATGAATTAAGAAGCAACACGACTGACAAAAGTAATTGTGTTCGCGCGAGCAATAGAAAGCAGGTGAATACCGAATGAGAGGATGATCATTCGCGCTAACAGCTTAGGTGATGTGTACGACTGTTTAAAACGCAAGAGCATTACTGTTTCCTTGTGTGAGGCAACTGTGTATAGAAAAATGACTGATGTGATCGGTTCTCGATTAAATAGACTAGACAAAAAGTGATGAACAAGCACCCACAGTCTTGCTGCTTTCAAGAGTTCCAGAGTTGTCTTTTTGTAAGCAGCACCAGTTGCTTTCGCTTTAACCATTCTTTGAACAGATTATTTATAGGTCTAACTTTAACCGTGTGTGTGTGTGTGTGTGTGTGTATTTGTGTGTGTGATCATCCTTTCATTATCACACGGTATGTTTTTCACCTGCTTTCTTTTGCATTAATATGGTTTAATTATAATTTTTTTACAATAATATTGCTTTAATGGCGGCCGAGGCAGTGGCGCAGTAGGTAGTGCTGTCGCCTCACAGCAAGAAGGACGCTGGGTCGCTGGTTCGAGCCTCGGCTCAGTTGGTGTTTCTGTGTGGAGTTTGCATGTTCTCCCTGCATTCGCGTGGGTTTCCTCCGGGTGCTCCGGTTTCCCCCACAGTCCAAAGACATGCGTTACAAGTGAATTGGGTAGGCTAACTGTCCGTAGTGTGTGAATGTGTGTGTGGATGATTCCCAGAGATGGGTTGCGGCTGGAAGGGCATCCGCTGCGTAAAAACTTGCAGGATAAGTTGGCGGTTCATTCCGCTGTGGTGACCCCGGATTAATAAAGGGACTAAGCCGACAAGAAAATGAATGAACGAATATTGCTTTAATGGGAGATAAACTCCCCATTTATGTGTAGTTAATGGTGATCTGGGATCTTTAGCAAGGACAGATTACTGTGCATATGTTTTGTTAAATAAAAAGTATAGTATACAGCTATATCTTGCTTGTTTTGGCACATTTAAAAATTGTGGCTAAGAAATAATTAATTGCTTATGTTTGGTGTGGTCAGAAATAAATGTGGTCATTCCTCCATTTTAAGCTCTGAAAATTATGTGAAATAAAAACTATTTGTAACACTATGAAACTATGACCCATTTGCTCATGATTTTTAAGCAAGCTCAAACACGACACACAAAAAGTGAACTGAATGAGGCAAAGGGTGAGATAACACAAAATCTAAATCAGGTTATTTTAGCATGTCAACGTCATATATATATGTATACAATATATTTTCCCAACAATAAAACTGTCAGCCGCAGTGGCTGGTGATGAAAAAACTTAATGTCAAGCCCTGTACATATACATATATATATATATATATATATATATATATATATATATATATATATATATATATATATATATCTACAGTTGAAGTCTGAATTATTAGCCCCCCTTTAATTTTTTTCTTCTCTTTTAAGAAGGAAATTGCCGTAAACAGCCCTTTATCAGCCTCGCAGTGAGTCTCTCTGCACTGTACAGTATATAAGGTTGTGTTATTAAATGGAGAGAGCGCTGTTTCAGAAAGCTGGAAACTGCAGATTTGTGCCTATAAGTGAAAATGATGAGCTGAAGTTTAAAATGAGAAATAAAGTCACGGGTTATGAGAAATAAAGTCGCAACCGAAAGATGTAAAGTCACAATTGAGAGATATAAAGTGTAAATGACTAGAAATATAATGCGTTTCATATTGCAATGTGCTTGTTTTATATGCATATTTAAAAAAAAAAAAAAAACTTTCAAATGAACACAGACTTACATTTTCCTTTTTTACATCATACAAAAAAAAGTCATAACTGCGAGGTATGAAGTTTGTTTAGTATATTATACATATACAGTTGAAGTCAGAATTATTAAAGCCCCTTTGATTTTCTTTTTTTTTTTTATATTTCCCAAATGATGTTTAACAGAGCAAGGAAATTTTTACAGCATGTCTGATAATATTTTTTCTTCTGGAGAAAGTCTTATTTGCTTTATTTCAGCTGGAATAAAAGCAGTTTTTAATTTTTTTATTAAAAAACATTTTAAGGTCAATATTATTAGCCCCTTTAAGCTATATTTTTTTCTGATAGTTTACAAAACAAATCATTGCTATATAATAACTTGCCTAATTACCCAAACCTGCCTAGTTAACCTAATTAACCTAGTCAAGCCTTTAAATGTAACTTTAAGCTGTATAGAAGTGTCTTGAAAAATATCTAGTCAAATATTATTCACTGTCATCATGGCAAAGATAAAATAAATCAGTTATTATAAATTAGTTAAACTATAATATTCAGGAATGTGTTGAAAAAAATCTGCTCTCTGTTAAACAGAAATTGGAGGAAAAAATAAACAGAGGGGCTAATAATTCAGGGGGGCTAAAAATTTTGAGTTCAACTGTATAATACAAACATTTCAACAGAACAAATAATAACATGCAGTTCTGGAATGACATAGAAGTAAGCAAATAGTTTCCACTGAACTATTGCTTTAACATGTGATAAACCCAGAATGTTCCTTTAAAACAAATGTCAGCGGAAGCTAAATGTGGTGAACTCAGAAAGAACATGTAGTTAACTACAGGGGGAATTCTAGGTGTTAAAAATATATCTAGAGAGCGAATGTTTGCGGAAGAGAAAGTCATTTGAAATATTTCAAAGACAAGAAAGAGTGACAGCAACACGACCGACAGAGACTAATGAATGACCAGCCTAATTAGCCGACGTATCCGGATTTGGAATGTGGAACATTCCCCGAGAAATAAATAAAGCTCCTTCAAACACAGATTTTAATGGCCTGAAGAGTCGCTGCCGCCCTGTGCGGTTCCTACGCCGGGCCCTGTTTTAGACTGATCTTTATATATGGGTGGATAATAAGCTCTGCTGAGTATTGAAGACGAGCACAGGGGGGCGTCTGGGAAGCGGCTCCCGTCCTGTGTTATTTCAGCTCAGTGTCCTCTCATGGCCCAAGAGCTTCCTTGTTACCCGTCCTCCATTTACACACTAATACTGTTTGCGCTGGCCTGTCTGCTCTGGGAGACACTCCAGATTACATTATGGGGGGCTGAGGGATAGCCGGGATCCGATGGGAAGGGGCTTTTCTTGGGAAAGTATGGGCGGGGGGTGTCTGTCGCCTGCATTCTTCCATCAAAAAACCTATTTAAGGCTGCACTTACTCAATTGAAGACATCTCAGCGGCCTTTCAAACAGAGCCATTGTTCTGGCCATCATGCATCAGATGTTCCCGGTCGGGATCGTAATTGGAAAAGTCCACTCGGGAGATTGCCTCAGCTGTTGGACGGACACTGATGTCTCAGGTGAGCAAGTCCGACAGAGAGCTCTCTTTTCTACAGACGTGCCAAATGTGGACTCAATAAGCTGTCGGCCCTGCGAGAGGCTCACTTATGGAGATTGACGGCAGAGAGATTGTCCGTTTGATGGAGTGCGACTGCTGGAATATGTGGAGTTTAGTCTGGCCAGGTCATCCTGAATGACTGATGCTGTTTAGGTTTAAGTATGTGCCAGAGAGAGCCGCTAATGCTCAAGAAGGTTTATGTATATTTTACAAGGCCAGGGCAGGAACGGGGCTGACACAGATTGAGGATGTGGACGTATTAAATGTCAATCACTTGAGCAGTCAAAGTACTTCAGTGCAGCTCTCTGTGCTGACAATGATTTGAATGCTTCGTTCCTGAAAACTGACATCCATCCACCTATTGTATATCTACTTTCTTCAATACTTTTCCTTTTGTTTCTATCCATTCTTTCATTGTTCTATAAGTACTGTTCTTTTTATCATTCTTTTTATTGTTCACATCCATCATCCGTATCATCATCATCTATTATTTTCTGTCTTCTTCCTGTCTTTTTTCCATCCATCCGTCCGTCCGTCCGTCCATTTTTTCTCTTCTTTCATTGTTTTTTCATCTGTTCATATTCTATTGTTCTTCCTGCTGTCTATTGTTCCAATCCACCCATTGTACAATATCTATTTTCTTCATTGTGATTTCTATTTTTTTGTTTCCATTCATCCATCCTGTTCTT